GGAGTGCAAAGATATCTCTTCTAGTCATGCAACATTATCCAGTTATGTGACCTCTTTGTTCCATATTGTATATATATATATATATATCTGTGTCAGTGTAAATTCCTGATTATGACAAAACCTTGTTGAAATGTTTTACATTTGCTGTTATGTTAAACTTATATTAAAGTTTTTCTTCATTACCCATTCAAGCCGTCTGCAAGCATTATTAGACTTGATGTGGTTTTCATTCTAATAGATATATATAGATAAGGGGTGTTAAACATGCACATCCTTTACATGTATTCACATTTCCTTATATTCTGATTACAAGGTGAGAAACCAACCCTGTATAGGTTTCAAATTACAAATGACATCCTGATAAAACCAAAACAAGCAACTGCTGGGAACAACAGAGTTACAAGAGAAAAAAAAAGTTAAAAAACAATTAATTTCATGGTAAAATTAAACAATTATAATATTATGTAGAGTTAATAATTTAGTATGCTTTCATTATATTTGTTAAAAAATCAGTTTGTATAACTTGGAACCATTTATTACTGATCTACCTACTAGAGTTGTCAATACAGTATTGTGTCTATCATTTGTTCATATACAATATTTATCTTATTTTCTTTATCAAAAACTAGTAATCCTTTTGTTGTTTTCATATGTAATACAGACTCACAAATACCTCACTTTCACTGCCGTAACTTAAGGTACATGAAATGTTTTGTTGTTTCTTTTCTTGACTTAGTCACATTTCCAAAGTATCTGGTCCTTTACCTGTCCATAATATTTTTACATTTCGAATCTTATATCACTGTCTGGTACATTAACTATGTTTGCTTTCTCTCTCATGACTTTTGACACCATGTTTCTATAATTCCCTATTGTCTAATCCCATTTGTAGGTAACTTTATTGAAAAACAAACAATAATATACATTTAAAAAGTTCAACAGCAGCAGAGAAAAAGATAATTTGTCTAAATAATGATTTAATGTATTCTAATATTTATATGCTTTGTTTTTTGGAATTGGTTTATGATATTATATACTTCTAGTCAAAATTTTAGTTCTGGTCTATTCAGTTAGCTTACTTTTGATCAGAAGATGTTGATAACTTGATAAGAAGCTAGCAAAGGAAAAATAAATATATGGATGTAGTTAGAGTCAGAACAGATAAAAATGCTGTTAATGTCATCAACACCAATCACATTTTCATACCTTGCTTTTGACATTCTGCATCAATTTGACAAGACTTGATGCAATACTAACAGCTTCTGTAAAACCCAAAGAAAAGAAAATTCCTTCTAGTATCATGGCAGGCAATGGTTCAACCACATGACAAACTCGAAATGAAACCTAAACACAAAAAGTTTTTATTCATTATTCCTTGTATTAACATTACCAGCATATCATCAATAAATGTCATGGCAAAAATTAAATTACATAACATACAAAACAATCAGTACCTTATATTTAACAGATTTATTAACAGCATTACACATTTTCAAAGATTAAATTTGTCATGTTGCATCTGTCAGGAATGGTCAATTAAACACATATAACACACATAATTAAAATTAAGATAAAATTATCATCTTTACACATCTTGAACAGTTGATAGGTGGAAACAAGATGATTGCATTAATTCTGAGCTTGTTACAAACGTTGGAAAGTTTAAAGAACAGTACAGCTCCTAGGCCAGATAATTTTTCCCCAGAGGTTTTGAAGGAGCCACTTACTAGTATTTTCGTAAATCCTTGAACAGTGGTCAGGTACCGAAAGATTGGAAGTTAGCTAACATCATTCCTCTTTTCAAGGGAGGTGATAAAAATTGTCTCAGTAGTTATAGGTCTATTAGTCTTATATCAGTTGTGGGAAAAGTTTTGGAAAGTCTGATAAAAGATGCTTTGCAAAGCCAGTTAACAAATTTTAGAATTTTATTGGATAGTCAACATGGTTTCACTAAGAGAAAATCTTGCCTTACAAATATTTTGACATTCTTCAAAAAGGTTACTGCTTATAGTGAGGGTAAGAGTGTAAATTTGGTATATCTGGATTTATAGAAAGAATTTGGAAAGGTACCACAAAAAAGGCTTTTAAAAATATATATACAGAAGTGGGGGATAAGTTAGCAAATTGGATTATATTAATGTTACAAGTGGGGTACCTCAGTGTTTAGTCTCAGGTCCTTTGCTCTTTTTGATTTACATCAATGACATAGATGAAGAAATGGTCAAAAAATTACTTAAAATTACAGATGATATTAAGGTCTTGGGTGTTGCTAGCTGTGAAGAGGATGGTGTTGATTTACAAAAGGATTTATATCATTTAGTGAGCATGGG